CTAGATTGAGGGCCCCAGTGGAAACAGTTTTGGCAAGTTAAGTTCCCTCATCAAGTCATTATTAGAAAATTAATATCATTATAATTATATACCAACGGAATTATTATTCCCGATGTCACTTAGTCATTATTATTATTACTATTATAATTAGTATTATTATCATTATCATTATTTGCATTGTTACTCAGTTGTGATTTCGTCTTTAGATATCGATGAATGTGTTGGATCTCCATGCAAAAACGGTGCAACTTGTCAAAACATTCCCGGAAGTCACAAATGTAACTGTAAACCCGGATTTACAGGCAAAGACTGCGGAAAAGGTGAACATCACAAAAATGGCTCTTTATTGTTCACGAACTATTTGCTCCATTTTTTTAGATTTCTTGTAACACAAATAATACTTACTTTGCAACCTCAGCAGTAAGAAAGAGGGCTTACTACTACTCTAGACACTGGGCGAAGCCATAGAGGGATATGGTAGGGGGACGTGTTCTTCTACATTATGTCATTGCCTCAGAACCTATTACTTACAACACTTAATAATATCTAGAAATTATCAAACATAATAATGATAAAAATACCTTTAGATGCAAATTTTTAGTCTTAAAAAACCTTGTTAATAGGAACAAACTCTTTAAGACTAACTAACTTCCCTTTGCGGGTTTAACAGTGCTTCTGTTATTTTGTATTTGGAGATATCGACGAGTGTGCTGGATCTCGTTGCAAAAACGGCGCTGGTTGTCAAAATCTTCTGGGGAGTTACCAGTGCAGTTGTAAAACAGGTTATGCAGGCAGAAACTGCGAGAAAGGTAAATATTTTAAAAATTTCTGAAACACTGTTTGGAATGTCTTCGCAATTCTGCAGACGCATTGCAGTGTTTTGCTAATCAGGAACGAGTTTGTAGAGGTTTTTTTAAACAAGTATGTACTCTTTTTTATCTTATTTTTTTAGATGTGAATAGGTGCCTTGAATTTCCCCGCAAAAACGAAGCCGTCTGTCGTAATAGTCGCGGTCGTTAGTATTGCAATTGTCAATCCGGTTTTACAGGCAGAAATTGTGAACAGGCCCTAAAAGTCCAATTTTCTTGATAAAGCCGCTCCTATTTACTGAACTGAAACGTTTCGCATGTGCTTACACCTTAGAGACTTTGTCTTCGCAGATATCGATGAATGCGTCACTGAAAAGCCCTGTAAAAATAATGCCAAGTGTGATAACATCCCTGGCAGTTATCGCTGTAGCTGCGCCCGTGGGCACACCGGACGCAACTGCCATATTGGTTAGTTATGCTTTTGTTTTGCTTCAAACTGAAAATATATTTCATCACTTTCAAACTAAGGGAAAATTAGATTTTCTGTTCACCATTCATTTGAACTACTTTGTCGCAGTCGCATGATTAACGTTCTTTTGGCTCTGCAGATATCAATGAATGCGCAAAACAAAATGGCGGATGCTCTCACAGGTGCACTAACACTGATGGTAGCTTTACATGCTCTTGCCCAGATCCTGAACTGAATTTAGCACCCGATCGTCGAACTTGTGTCGGTAAGAAAATTGGTATCACCTCCGCAGGTTGTTCATTATGAATCAATTTTAGGGAAAAATTGAGATTCATTTTAATTATATATAACATACAACTTTATTATCTATATAGCGCAAAATACATGGGTATATGATCATGATCTAATGCACTTTACATTACGATGCCTAGAATATTCTTTAATATTACAATGAAACGGATAAAAAAAATCACATCTTACCTATATAGTTAATAAATTTATTCTGGATAAAAAAATAAATATATATTTGCATGCAAAAATGTATGTTAAAATACCATAGATCACACGGTAAAAGCTAATTTAACATAATGGGTTTTTAGCCGTGCCATAAAAGTTTTGAGATTGCCCAAAGCTCTCAGCTCGCCTGAAAGGGCTGCAAAGAACACTCTGTCTCCTTCTTTTTTTTTTTCCATAGCCGATGATGTTGACATCAAGTGTTTTAAAAACTACATGTCAATCACACTACCCAAAACCCTCCTTCTTGGGTTAAGCCGTGAGCATGTCACTCTACGAGATCTCAACTGCGTTGCTACGGAAACAAATACCCATTACACCCTTACGACAGCTTTCACCGATTGTGGCACGACCGCCACGTTCAGAAAGGGCGCCGTTGTCTACAGTAACACAGTTTTGGAAATACCAGTGGAAGGTGACGCTGTGGTAACCAGAGTTCGCGAGATTGAGATTCCTTTCAGTTGCTATTTCAAATCCAGCGGTGATGCAATATCTGTTGGATACAAACCTGACATCAGGAAACTGGTCGTCGACGAAGATGGGAAAGGAAACTTTTCACTAAATCTAGACATGTTTGCAGATGAAAAGTAAGCTTGCATGAAGTGTGTACTTAGGTAACAATGCATCGTGGGAGGCCAAATAGGGAGTTTGTCTTGAAGCAGTTTGAGCTTTCTACTCTATCATACTCGGGTTCGAAATAATTCACTAAAACTTGGAGCAATAAACTTCCATTGTTCCACATTTCGGCGTCAGTTGAAATTTCCCTAAGAGGGCGCAAAAAGTAGTAAGTGCTGATGTTACATCGAAGAACAATGAAGAAAAAATATTTGTTTGCTTTCGCATTTTCTGTTGCTCTGAATATTATCTTCTTTTTTTTAAACCAGGTTCACCCTACCATACAGAGAAGAGGACTATCCAGTGCAAATCAAACAAAAACAGGATCTGTGTTTTCGAGCGTCTGTAAAATCCGAGGACAAAAATTTGTCGGTTTTAGTGGAAAATTGTTTCGCTACTTCCTCCAAAAATACTTACCTTGCGGCTAAATATTATCTCGTCAAGAACGGGTGAGATGTATACTATCGTTCCATGTGTCATTAAAAGGGATAAACAATGTACAATGCGACGAGCTAATGCCACTGAAAAAAAGTTGGAGACAATTTGCTTCATGACAATATATCTGTGGAAATCTTGGCCGCTGTGACTAGTCGTATAGATTCAGGCTGGTTTGAGTTTGTGCGATACTCGCAGCTAGTAAGATGAGTCACAACTTAACTTATTAAAGAAGCAGCACACACGAAACTATTTTCTCCAATAATTTAATCCACCTTTTCAAACAGACAGATTTTTATGAGATCTGAAATTACACCTTGAACAAAGTTTAGTATACAACGACTTCTCAGAATCTCTAAAGAGAAAAAGTAAAAATTTCTGTTGGATATCAGGCCTTTGCAAATCAGAGACGGATTAAAATTTCTCATTGAAATGTTTCCATTTGGTGTTTTGTAGATGCTGTGTCGATAAAACGACCAAATTCGTTCCAACTCCTAAAACTGAAGAATCCAGATTCTCCATCGAAGGATTCAAGTTCATTGCTGATCATCCATTTGTGTTTCTTCATTGCCAAATGAGGATTTGTGATTCAGATGACCTGAATTCCAGATGTTCTCAAGGATGTTTGAAAGGATCGAGGGAAAAGCGAGACGCTAACAATGAGGATAAGTTGTACTCTTTGGTACAGGGCCCTCTTACAATTGATGATGACGTAGAAGAAACGAAAGCCAATCAAAAGACTGTAAAAGGTAAAATAGCAACGGACTGTTTTCTTCAGCTTTTTAATAAACGCCAAATATAAATATGCGAAGTGATTTTGGAACTTAAGTTGACAGTGAGGACTGCAACATGATAAAAACCAATCTAAAACCTTTAGCCCCAAAAATGCCTGGCTTTTGATTTATCCTTCCAGTATATTCCTTGAATCAAATGAAGAGGTCATGAGATTAGAGAGAAAGATCACCATTTTGCAAAAGAATCTCCTGACTGTCGATAAGTTCTTCTTGTCAGTGTCATAGGTACTGTGAAGAAAGCATATGGAGAACATGAATGCTGATGTTAGTGTGTTGAAGGTTGAGGAGCTCAGATAGCATCTTGACTTCAGAAATTATTCTAAAAGTCAGTTTTCCCGTTGGAAACTTTTGTTTAATCCACGTTTCAATGGTCTTTACATTGTTTTATGTTAATCTTCATCATCTTAAACTACTACTTCTCTCTAGCCTTCTTGAAATCAAGACCTTGGTGAAAACTCAAATAAAATGATTAGATAATAAATATAATGATAATAGTAGTGATCCCTATCATAATTATCATCTTCATCTTTACTTTTATGATTGCCTTTACTAATATTGACATCATTTATTTTCCTTTTTGCTAACAATTTTGAAGGTGCATGGTTTTTACTCGGTAAACTTATTCACCCAGATTTAACAATGCGTAAGAAAATTCCTTTTATTAAAAATCCTTTGGTTTATTTCAGATGCCACCATACCAGCAGTCCTTCCTTTACTTGTACTGGCTGTGATTTGCATTGTGGGAATGATTTGGTTAGATCACAAAAGAAAAAGAGTCGCTCGTGTGTATACTCCATAGTCAATGACGTCAGAGGACCAAAGCCTCCTGCACTACCCTGTTGGTGGCCTGAAGTGACAAAAAAAACTAAACAAAAATTGTCTTCAAGATTTTTTGTAATAAAGAAAATAAAAAAAAGATCGCTTGAGTCAAAAGATTTGTAAATTTTGATGAGAAGTCGCTACGACACAAAATGACTTACAAAAACTAGTAGAATATCAAGCAGACTGAGAAATTCAGCAGATCGAAACTCGCCAACTATAACTTTAGCTAAATGTATCATATCCAGTGGGTGACAACTCGGTAAAGCCTATTCAGCGGTATCTCTCATAACTAAGGAAATATTTTAAAGTTTTGATATTAGAAAATGTAAATCTGAGACCAAAGATGAAACGACCGAAGGCAAAATTAACAATTAAATCGATAAATCAGATAAACAGTGGTTTTAAATTATCAAAATAAATATACAAAATACGACTCCGGAATATAATATACGATTCCTTTATTCGCCACAGTATAAAAAAAGTTTAGATTTACGAAAAAAATCACGGCATGCAGAAAGAATCTTGTGATTCGTCTAAGCTCCTGCCAAGCGACAATGTTGTTGTTGTTGTTGTTTTTTTTTTTAATAGTGTTTATTACTTCCAAAAATGAAATTAGGTAGCCTTCAAATGTCAGTTTGAAAGAAAACTCGTCAAGTCAGGCTGAATTTCTAGTCGCACCATCGTCTTCCATGTTTTAAGTAATTCGCGTCTTTAAAGCTAACTACAATAGAGTTTATTTCTTCCTCGTTTCATTTTTCGAAGGTTTATCCTGACTGAACGCCAGCCGTTGCTGTGGAATTAAGATGAAAAACAATGCATGAATATAAAATCAAAATACGTTGTTACATAAGCCTGTTAAGTTCACTTCAGTGAAGTGTAACATAAAAGTATAATGGATCTTAAATTGCGTAAAGCACAGCTTTGGCGAAAATAATTGATCCTTTCTTAAACCAAGATTCGTCGTGTGTATTCCAAAATGTTATCAAAAATAATCTGATTACCCTTCCGATATTTGTGCAGTTAAGACACATGCTACAAGTCCATAGAATAGAATGGCTTTTTAGACAACGTTCATTAGATATAATTACAATTTCAGGTAGGGTTTCCCATCTCCCGCTAAAAGGAAGCTAAATTTTCTGTCACTCCTTCTTAGTGTCGAAGAGACATCAACGCTTCATTAACCTAGGCTAGTGGTTTCATTGTTTTCCTCGCTCTTTTTCCTCTTTTTTCTCTATTGTTTAACGTCAACTGTGTCTTCTACACCAAGCAAGAGCACATATAACTGGTCAGGTCACATTTCAATTGTGTAAAGTTTTTCGTATGTACCTTTAAACGCTACGGGCACACAATATAACCAGACTTCCTGCAAACACAATTGTTGCTCAGTTTTTCGCCAACTCTTAGGATTCTATCGTTGAACCAACAGATTGTTTCTGCCAACAAAAACATATTTTAACAAAATTGCAGTACATCAAGTAATCAACGGATAAGACTCGAGAAAAATAATTCGTTAAGCAGCTGCCAGCTTTAGTCAAAATTCTTTACCTTAGTAACACTATTAGACAAAACGTACCCTTTGATTTTAGATATACTGGAACATTTTTGAGACTCGTCTATTCCGGAAATCCATACATCACTTTTTTTACCGCTTTTATTTCACGTGATAATACTCTAGAGAACAATTTCTTTCAAATTTCCCCTTTTTCACATGCATATGTTCGCATAATTTGCAAAAGATTAAGCTAGGAATTCCCTTGAGACCTAAAATGTTACAATTCAAAACCTCAAGGCGATAATATTTCTTGATTTATTCTACCTTTGGTTTACCTTCGTTGCCTTGATTGTCTTGTTCTTCAACTTCGTTCCAGTATTCCTCGGTGACTAATGAAATGAAAATAAATAAATTGTGACAAGTCAACGTAACTTTGTTAACATCCGAATGGATAAAATTTACCTGATCTCCTCATTGACCCCAGGTGATAAATACAATTGTTCTCTAATTCTGTGAAAAGTTTATTTTGTTTTGTGAGAAATATTGAAGGAAAAAAAATAAAAACGAGAACAGTCAATGTGATGATGTTGCACATCAACCCTTTATTCTTATACCATATTATCAAAGATAAAATATACTTCAAGCTAGATAAAAATAATGGTTATTGAAAATTGTTTTCAAGGAAGAAATAGGTCTAGGTCTTTCTTCATTAGAAGTACCCTTGACCCTAGTCTCCTTCGCAGCCGTTCTCAAATTTGTCACGCAACGCTCCTTAGTCAACGTTCGCTGAGGAGAGGCGTTGCGTGACAAGTCTGAGAATAGCTGCGCAGGAGGCTGCCGTGAGCCAATGAGTGACAAAAGTAGTTGGCACACCTCCCCTCCTGGGTGGGCGAAAAACATTCACTCGACATAATAAATATTATCTCATGATATATTATACAACCAATACACAACCTATCATAATATAAATATTATAATAGGTTGCTTGCAAGTCCTCCCTTTCCCCTTGAACAATGTTACCAGAAATTTGTGGTCATTTCGTAAAACCAGGCAACATTCAAATGGGGAGGATGGGAGATAAATAAAGGTTACAGGAAAATTCAGAGAGAATTCAGTTTTATATCAAGAAAACATTTTCATGTTTACATGTTCGTCTCATCAACTTTTTTTTTTTGAAAATGTATTGATATAGAGACGAGAAATTACATTCTGGGCATCGTTCAGAAAACAGGATATTTGCTTTTAAAATCATCAGTGTTGAGTGTGCTCGTGACATAGCGCAGAGCACGCTTCTTAATTCAAAGAACAAGCCAAAAATTTTCCCCTCTTCGTCAGTCATTTCAAGAATTTATGGGGTTAAGTGTTTTCCTAGAAGCGTTCTGCGCACGGATACTTATCATCTTTATTTATTAAAAAATAAGTTTTGCAAATAAATTTTTGCCTCTGTTTCGAGCAAATGTTTTAAAATAACGAACTCATAATTGTCTCGACGAACTTGGCGGATGATTCACTGCGTCTGGCGGCGTCAAAACAGTTCCGATTGAAAATTTGCCCTTTGGACTTACCTTCCCGTTAAATGCACAGAAGGTTGTGATTTCATATGTTTTGTATGAAGAAGACAGCGATTAAATATATCCTCTTGTGTGAATTGTGTTCTCTTGAATGTGCCATGTTATCTGGTACACGTGCAAGCTCATAGTTACGCTTATTTTTTCGCCATCACCGCCATGGTGAGGAAGGTCTCTTACATGTTCAACGCAGCATTCAGTCATGTGCTGGCAATTTTTCAACGGTTTGTCGTAATGAAGTTCATCAGTCTGCAATATTCGACGTCTGAACTTAATATGAAGACCCAGAGGTAATTCTAGCTTCGTAAAAATTTACGTGATATAGATCACCTACCTACGTGCTCGAAGTCGGACTGATCCCCACCACGACAGATTAAAACTAGGTGAACCAAAATCACTGTATATAGTGTTATCTTTGCTAACATGGTCATCTTAAATCAGAGAGCACCTTCAAAAACTCTTTCGTGTGTTCCACAGCACTTTTGGTGATGTGTTACATGGAAAATAAATCATAGGCGTTCGTTCTGGTTTTTTTAAAAAACAGAAGCTCTCAGACCACCGCAAATGTTCTTGTCTGGGTCTAGGCTGGGATCGCTTTCAGGTCTTGCGCTTGAGAATCTGGGTCATGGAATAGTGCCAAGACGTTTAGAGGGCTTGTTTTGTTCACACAAATCGATAACGAATCGAGAGTTTAACAGGAGTATGAGCTAAAATCTGAGAGATCAGAGCTAAGAAATTGTAAAAAGCTGTTGTTTTATGAAAAAGATTATCGATTAACGCTAATTAGCTGGTCATCAACGGGCGATAAACGCATTTGAATCAATAATCAATCAAAACATTGATCAATCAGTCAGCCATTAAGACACTCATTCACTCAGCCCATTAGTTTGTCAGTCAACAACTTTGAAAAAGTCTTTTCTCAAATTTTTTTTCATTAAGGGATACGTTATCCAATCTTTGTGGGTTGTTTTCAGGCATTTGCAACATTTGCACAACAACAAGTGGGCTTTAGTCGAACAAAATCATCGTCAGCCGAAATTTCATGACATCGCACCCTTAAACCTTGACAACTTTCTGATTGCCGATAGGGTCATTTAATTTTAATACGCATTGAAGGAATCTTCACGTGTCCCAGAGCGTTGTAAATTTCATTATAAGTTAGAGTAACGGAGTCGTTTACCAGCCATCGGAGCATGAAACATATGAGACACAAGGGGTTCGCTCTGGACTAAGTGTCTCCAAATCAAGCTTTCTTAAGTGTCTATTGAAAAGAAAAAAGAAACAGACGTCGTGCGCTTCGCAAAGTAACAGAGCAAACGCGTACTGTATGGCATGGAACAAACTCAGCGATTTCTAGATGTCCCCCTTAAAAAGGCCTTTTTATGTTTCCGATCGTTGATTTTGTTGCATTTTGCGGAAGCGAAGCTGCTATCCCGCAAACTTGTGGTAGCAGTCGGTTCATATGAAACCTTTCACGGATTCCCAGGGTGATATCTCTGGGGGAAAAGTTTTGACAGTTTGAGATAGAATTGCAATCCTCATTCCCTTATGTCATTTTAAAAATAGATCTAGAAAGCTTTTCCAAAGCTTCCTATGATATATCCCCTTCATCAAGCCATACCGCTATCATTTTTCTCACCGGAAAAATGTCCCGATTGCTTTTGTTATTTCCATAATGTTCCCCCCACAAAGGTGACTTTAAGCAAGGCTTTCAACTGCTTTTTGAAGTACAAATTTCTTGCTTAAAATAACGGAAGCCGGTGAAGAAAAAGTGTGTTATCAGGAAAAATATTGTATTGAATTACTGCACTTGAGATAATGAACAACTTCGCATAAGTTTGGAGTCCCCCTTCAAAAGAACACCCTGGCAAACAAATTCACCTCTATCACAACATGCTTTCGCGAAAGTTTATTTAGCCGCAGAACCACCTTACCGAAAAGTGAAAAGGCATAAAAAATCAACCTTAAGGAGATTCACTAGTGACAGATACTTCCCGCAATTTCACTGCTAATAACAATGACGAAAAAGGGACAAATTTTCCACGCATGAAAAAAGTCATGGAACTCGCTGATCAAAGATTTTCCTTTGTGAGGTTCTGGGTCCAAAAAAATTAATGATCATTCGCGGTCTCAAACATGGCTGGTATAAAAAAAGCAAACAAATAAAAAAAAAAAAAGCAATTAAATTAGAGAGTAAAAATTGGGATCTACAAGTAATGAATGCGAACTAGGTGAATGTTAAGGTTTGAGCGTTTTTCCTAGTGGACGTTTCAGATATAAGTTTAAAAATTGCGTGGCGAAAGATTAATCTTGAGTTCTTAAAGAACCATGAAAAAATATGGTACATAAATGATGTCGGTTGAGAAAGTGATTCAAAGAAAATAGCTTCCGTAGCGCATGATTGCAAACTTGTTTCCATTGTTGCTACTTTGCCTTCCTAAAAAATGCCTCTGTTTGTCTCCAAAATTAGGTTAAATTTGACGCAACATGCATATAATTATTGCTCTCATTTTAATTGGTGGCGTAAGATAACCTTGATCTTATTTTGATCGGCGCAAAGAAAGTATTTTTGCCACACCATTACACAACTGTCTCTTTACTGCGAACTCGGGAGAAGCGTAAATTTAATATAAAACCCCCATAACGACGCACTGGTCTAGCGATAAGGAATCAATCATATTTTGATCATCGCAGCAAGGAAAGGTATGAAATTAAGGAGAGATAGGATAGTTCTTTATACATGCTGAGAGTGCTGTTCAAAACAAAGCAGGATTATGTTCAAAACGCAGTGCTTGTTTTAAAAAATCTTACCGTTTAGGCAAAAGTATACTAATGTACAAATTTCGTGCTGGATCTATTGGGAAATTAATTATTATCAATATAATAATTTTGACTTCTTATGAAATTCGAATTAGACATTTCCAACGATCCTTAAAAACCTGGCGCACATTTTTTCATCCACGAAATTCTGCCGCTAAATTGTAGAAATTGAGTATAGTTTAAGGTGATTTTTGAAGTACATTCATGATATCAGAAGGATTTGGAATAGGTAAGCAGAATCCTCGCGTAAAACTCGGCGTCATGTGTTGAAAAAGAACGATGCGTCTTTCTAATCGTCGCGATGTGTAAATTATTGTGGGTGAAAATCTCTCACATACAAATGTCCCTGGAACGACCTCAACCCCAAAAACTCATTTCGTTCTTACTTATCAGAAAACATTCTCCACTCAACAGGATGCCTCCAATTTTTTGTTTAAACAAACAAGTTAAATTTCAAAATTTGATTGGGTTTCTTCGAAAAAAGACTGAACATACAGAATTGAAAAATCACCTATTCTTCTGTGTCAGTGATATAATCTGGGTTCAATTATCACTTCTATTTTTGCTGGCACTTCCTGATTGATAATATTCTAAAAGATCTAAGGGCAGTGACAAAAATTAATTATAAAAAACAAAATGGAACTTTCAGCTTGAAAATGACACTGTAAACAAATTACTGACACGTAGTTACAATGATCTGACGAAACTGACTATATTAATCCTATCTCAAGGATATCCAGTTTCTCTTGCAAAAAAATGCTATTGATAAAAAAGTTAACCTATTCAAGCTTTTTTCATTACCCATTACCCATTACCCATGTTGGTATGGTTTTTAGCTCGAGTCACACTGGACAAGCTGACTGTTGCCTTAGGGGAGATCTGTTGACATGCAATTAGTAAATGAATTAAAACCTTTGGGCGGTAGCCTACTTTGTGCTAGGCTGCAAACTTCAGCTCAGTTACCAAGGAAACCCTATCCATCGTCAAGACATATATTCCGCCGCGAAAGAGTCAGTTTCTTACGAAACGGTACTTGCATCTCATACCTCACAGCTTTAAAATAATTCTGTTTTCGTTAAGGAAACGTTCAGTTGTTACTTAATTCGCCGATGTTTAACTGAACGATTGAAGATTTCAACGTTAGCTTGTTTTTTTTTTGTTTTTTTTTCTTATTATTTATCTAATTATATTAGAGAAATATTCTGCCTCAAGAAACCGGCCCCTAGAAACTTCTATTTCTAATGCCATTTCCGATACTCTTTAATCCTTCATCCTCTAGCATCAGTATTCATATTCTCCACACTGATAAGGAGACTTTATTTGACAATCAGGAGCTTCTTGAATTCCTGACAATTTCCTTTCCTTTGTTCTCATCTAACCTTTACCCTTTAGAAACTAGAAGCCAGTCACTCTTAGAAGCTAAAGAGTTAACCACATATACGTAATTACGTTCCTGAAAAAATTACGCGCTTCTCATTGGCTGAAAACGGTTGCATTCTCATGTAACCCAAGCGCAAAGTTGTAACACGAATGCAAATTACAAATAGTGCGCGCACGCTTTCAAAATTACGTCTGTCTCGACTTTCTGCGATGTTTATTCGTATACATTATTGACAAGTAATAACATGATTCTCTTGCAATTTGGTGTAAAGACACCTCTAAATTTTTCAGTCTTTGAAAAATTTACTCGTGCTTATTTACACCAAATTGCACTCGAAATCATGTGATTACCTATACTAAATAGACCAAAGAAAGACAAAATATCAAGGATTCAACGGTAAAATTCTTATAACCTTGAGCTTTGGGGAACAAAAAGTTGACAAAACGAGAAGCTCAGCTGAAGTTTGGGAATCTTCTTCTTATTTAGCATTTGTCAATCATGGATGTTCTATTTCACCTAACTGGATTATTTCTCATCGTCTTTACAGGTGAGATAAAATATCAATAAACGCCAGAGTCAAAGCTAATTTATCATTCCTGCCAATTGCAAAGATCTGTTACGAATACTTGAAAATAAACCAACTGACCCTCGTCCGGCTTTATTTGGAACCAAAAGGAAAAGTCTGTATAACTTTAAAGATATTTCATAATCGCTTGGTACTATTCAGTAGACCCCTTACTATGCTCGGCTCGAATGATCAAAGCCGTGTGCTTCCCGGCAATACGATTGAAATTAGGAAGTTCATTTCAACCACATCATCTATTCTATTGGCTAAAAGCGAGCTTCTAATTTTACTAGCGCTGTTTTTACTATCATGCTAAACATAACTAAATAATGTTCTCTTTTTTCCTTTTCTTTTTGCAGTCCGAGGAGATTCTGAAGGTAGCTATCAACTTACATGATATAGTATGGATGCCTCTCATAGCTCAAGTTCCTTTTTACATCATTTGTTTCAGGGGAACATTACACTGCAAATATCTATGGAATTAAAAAAAGAAAGAAATTCCTTTCAACTTTTGCTTTATTTCGGTTGGATTACATGAAATTGAACACGCGTTTTTGTTACCATAGATTTTATTTTTTAAAATTATTATGCCTACAAGCATCCTTTTCAAATTTGTTGAGCTTGATTTTACAATGAGGGTTAAAAAAGTCTCTTTTGGTCAGTTAGTTTAACACAGTTGGAAGATCAAATTGGAATTGGCCAGGTCGGCTCCAAATTCCAAACAAAAACCTATTACAAAAAAGAAAGAAACAATTCAGACGTCCAAAATTTGGCTGGATCGAACTTGTTATGATGAGACCTTGGATATCTGTGCAATGCACGTCAGAAAGCCTTTTTTAT